GCACGCGGGAGCTGCCGTGAGCCCCTCCACCGCCCCAAAGCACTCAAAGGCAGTTAGTCTCACAGTAGCACCTCGTGCAGCAGTCCCAGCTGCAGAAAGAGGAGACCCACACTCTCCGTGTCCAGACTGCAAATGAATCGCACATGCGCAAAGTCGCAGCTGTTCCCGCCTCTCTCCTACAGCGCTCATTACAATTATGCAAATTAGGCAATGACGTCATTTAGCGACTTCTAGCCACTTTTAGGACAGCCAATAGCTACTTTCCTTACTGAGGAGTTGGCAACACTGGTCCAATAGAGACCAAACTCAGTCGCTCCCATCAGATACCATCAGTTAAGGTGCCACTGTACTCCAACAGGAGAGTTATAGATTTACTAAGTGTTTTGTGGCCCACTTTAGAGGATTACAATAGCTATTCAGCTATTTAATTATCTTAGTTGGAGTTGAAGAGAAAAAGGACAGGAAGCCATTTGTATTTTTCAATTTCTGTGGATTACTAAAAGACACTAGGTAAACAGACAAACACTGTCAGTCATAAAATTGACCTTTTTTTTTTTTTGCTGGACCTGGTAGTGTGGTAAATGAACAATATGGCAGTCAAGTACATTTCAGTGAAGTAGCTATTTGAACGGCTGCTTCACTTCTATTGCATTTAAATCAAATTATCTTTAAAGCCTTCCCTCAGTTTCTTTTTGTAAAACCTTTCCTTTTCGTTCAAATCACAGCCTGGGATGACAGAACCATTTTGTTTGAAAGAAAGGAGCTCTGGGGAACCAAGTAATCATTTATGTCTGTCAAATAAAATGTTTTCCCCTTTAAGGATATTATGTTCCCTCTCCTTTGCTCTAAAATGAAATGTCTTTTGAAGTCTTACACTTCTTTAAGTGCAGATGTACCAAAAAAAGCGAATCAATGTGTGATCTGCACATAATGTAATAACGTGTTGAAGTAAAAATACTACTGTAATACTACTGTAACAACTTTTTTCATTGTATCATTTTGAGCTAGCTCCATGTGAGGGTTAAGACAAACTCATATTTTTATAAAAATGCTGGAACGTAAAGAAAATTAGATTTAGTTGTGGGCATATGGAATACAGTATAGGGAATATGACTCAGCAGCGTATCATGTCGTAGGCTAGCTGCGGAGCTAGCAGCGTTAGCATGCTATTCATGCTAATATGCAAGATAGTTTATTATTCTTAACCGCTTTTTAATTCCAATTTCAAATGACCATTTCCTTTTTGGCAAAAGAGGATGAGGAATATCCAAATGATACACGACACGTTCACTGAACACTCCTTAAATTGCACGGTATAGTGTTAGATGTTGAAGAGTGCATATGATAGCACTGCTGTCAGTTAATGAAGAATCTTTCCATCCTTAATCTAATCTCTGTTTTACAATTATTTTTATTTGTTAAAAACTGTTCTTAAAACAGTTTTTGTGGTATAAGTAAGTTACAATCTACTTTTTTTTTTTTTAATTAATACGGTACAAAAACAATAAACTGTAGATAATACTGGTACACATTAAAACAAATGAGGCAGATACAAATGTTCCTGTTCATCACTAACGATAATGTTACGTCTATAAATAATTATTGGTGTAATTGTACCAATCATTGTGAATAAATATATTACCCTGTGTCTCCTCACTGAAACCTCTTGTCTCGTTGGTCCTCGGAATATGATTAAAAGAGCTACAATGTTTTTAATAATTCATAAAACACTTGTAAGCATTTTGATTGTTGCTTTTACACTATAAGTCAAGCAGATTTCTTTGTTTACTGGCCAACACAATCCTATTGTAACAACAGTTCAGTACTCTGAATCTTACATAGCATTTGGTATACCCTATAAGCAAAATACTAATAACAGTTTCTAGAATGGGAAATGGTACAAACAAGCCTTGCTCTTCTTATTAAATATAGCCTTTTAATGAGAAATAGATTATTATATGAAACATTCATTTGAAATAAGCTGATATAATGGTGTCAACAGAACAGCAAAAAAGTACATAGGCAAGGTATTAGGTGTAAAAATCTTCAGACATATCCATGGATACATGTAAGCAACACTGTGGTAGCATAATGCCATACGAGTAAATGTGCTTGTTTTATGGACCTTGCGGTGGCTCAAAACTAAATCGTAATGTACAGAATGTTTTGACAATATAAAAACAGTCATACATTGTCATGAATCTAATTAGATACATTTGACATGAGTGCCCTGTACTTTGTGCTGATGTACTCAAATGGAGGGCTTTTTTTTAAAGTAGTCTTTGTATTCCCTTTCAATACTGTTATATTATTATAATAATGTTACTGTAGCAGAGGTTGTTACTGTAACAGAGTTCATATTTACAGATACATTGTACAACAGGGGACAAAAAATGTCAACCAAAACTTCAAGTCATCCTTTGACCCTCTGTCTGGTGTTTGATTTCCCCACATGCACAAACCTTCTGAAAGGGGTAGATCTCAGGAGGAGATGAAAAGTGTTTATTAGATCAGCATTTATGGTCCTAAATTCTGAAGCTAATTCAGTGTCACTCGTCTGTATAACATCTAAAAGTTTTCTCCAGCTCTAAACGTGTTAAAGGGATAGATAACAGGCACTTAATAATACTAATAATAATATAAATAATAAGAATGTAACAATTCATTTGGATAGTCCAATGTTAATGCTGAACAATCAAGTCCCCAATTTACTGCATATCTATTGACTGCAGGCTTGTGGCCATCTCAGGCATCTTGAAAGAATCCATTAGGAGATACTGTTAGCATGCAAATGTTAGAATGGCAATGCTATGGATCCTAACATATTTGCAAAAGTGTACAGTCTACCATTAATTAGCATAAGCATGCTGAAAATAAGCTCAAAATTCATAACTTGGCCTGATAAACAACAATACCAAGGAGCTTTGAGACAGCTTGCAGTTACCATCTACACCCGAGCAGATTGGTCACGATACAATACATTTGAAAGGTATCCACTGGTTCTCTCTCCCCTTGCTGCTGTTGTCCTAGAGGCAGTGCTGCCGTCCTATGCAAATTCGAAACAATAGCATTGCAGCGGTAACTGCTCACTCACTAAATGCACCTTTACGGATGTTGAGGTATTGACCTGACAAAAGAAATAGACTGGTGAAAGTATCGTGCTGTGAGATTGATTTGAAAACACAGAGCTGAGCCTGACAACCTGAGCCTCAGTCATCCTGAACCAGCCACCACATATACGCACGCTAACCCGTAAATTGGAAATTGGTAAACTATTTTCCAGACTACAGAATCACCTGAAATTGATGAGATTTGTAGTGAAACATAGTTACATATCTGACTAAATTGTTATTTATAAAGCACCTCTCAAGAGTTAAATGTGCTTCACGAAAAGACTAGCAACAGCAAAACAAAAGATAAGGATAATCATCGCCACACAAAGCCAGAGATTATTCTGTCAGTTACATCACGGCAAGAATGCACATCAAAGCTGTGATTGTGGATGCAGTAAAATCTGCAGCTGACAAAGATCCGTCCGTAAGAATCAGAAACAGGTTTTATTCCAGGGCTGCTGCAATTTCTTGCTTAATCGATGCCCCAAAATTTGACCACTGTTTTCAAGACGTATTGGATTGGAGGAATTGCAACCTGGTTCATGTTTATGTCACAACTCACCACGGTTGTTCCTGTATTACATGCCTCTGCTTTCAGCTGACCCCACAAGACGAGTGACATCACAATGTAAAAGAACAACAATTATTTACAAGAACACAAAATGAAACAAAAAGTACCAAGGGAACCAAACTATAGCTACATTAAGAGACCCAACAGACATTAAAAACAACAGAACAATCTGAAGAATAGAACATTTGTTTGACGTTAGTCTAAATTCTTGCAAATGGGCTGGCAGCTTTTACACTGGGACGAAGGATTTTCCAGAGTTTGGGAGCCACGGCAGCAAAAATGAAATCTCCTCTTTTTTTTAAGTTCAACCCCACCAACGGCTAGAACAGCAGGGTTGTATGACATGACTGGCCTTGCCTTTGTTGTTGTTAACAAACATGCAGGTAATGGAGTGGACCTACAAAAACTAAACAGCAATAGCAATGTCTCAGCATCAGATTACCCAAATAAAGTGTGACCGACAATACATAGGTAGTATTTCATATTTCAGTTTGATGATTTAGAGTGTTAAACACAGTTGCAGCTCTGTTGATGTTTCCAGCAACATGCAAAAACAAGGTTAAATTCCATATCTTGAGAGAAAAATGGAAATCTTTACATGTGGTCATAAAAAGCTTACAGATTAAACACTGCCAAAAAGGTATTTTAAGCTTTAATATAACCATTTCTTTTTTTTTTCTTTTTTTCTTCCTGTGGCACAACAGAGAAATTCAGTGGCTTTACAACACAATTCTTATCCAACATAATATGCCTTCCCTTGTCATCTCCCTTTTTGCTGTGCTCTTATCTAAAAACTGAGAGAATAAAATAAAACCATAAAAATGGAACATTTTTTAAATTTTTTTTCACGTACATACTTTTTGTCATGAACTTTATGTCTTACCGTATGTCTACCTCAGGGAAGTGTATGGCTTTAAGTTGTCTTGCAAATGTGTCTGAATGATGAATGTTTACATTTTGCTCTTGGTGCTGAAAAGCTCCACAAATCAGCAGTCACAACATGTACATTTTGCAAAGCTGTACAAAATAGCATTGATTGTTAAATCTTCAGACCACAATATTGCACTCACGCACCAGGAGGTACTGCCTTGTGAAAAACACAGCTTGAATTTCAAACACGGGAAGAAGCGCTCCAAATGCAAGATTTTGCTTAGACTGGAGTCAAATCTCAAATGACACATTCAATTAACGAACAGCAATAAGCATCAAGCCAAAGAAAATGTACACGCACATTTGCACACGCGCACGCACACGTACATTCACCCACATATATATGTATATATATAAACAGCTGGCTTTTGTTATTTGACATGACGATCCGTTACTGCCGTGCTGTGTGCCTTATGTGTCAGAACTATGAGAGAGTGCCTCATAGCTCACGAAGAGCAATGCAGATTTGCTGTGGGTTTGAAATGTAATAAAGAGTCTAGAAGTAATGTGTTGCCTACTTACTCACTAGGGCTATTTAATCCTTACAATGTAGAAATATTTTTTTTTTTAAATATTAAACGGTCCATTATATCTGAAATATTTTGCACATTAGCTGAAATAAAAGGATATCTGGTCTGCCCTTGTGTTATATCGTTATTACTTTAAAAATGTTTTTCTCAGTAAACAATGGCAGTTTCAGATATAACCTTTGATCCCTCAGAGTAAAATCAAGGCCTCTTTTTCACCAGTACATAGATTTTATATTTCATTTTTTTCTCTCTCTTTTAAGTTCTTTTAGGGAATGACAGACATGCTGGGACAAATATGATACAGTCTTTATAGTGGTTCCATTGATCTTCGTTATCTTATCTGAAATGCTTTTCATCAATGCCTTTTTCCTTTATCTCTTTAAGAATTATGCTTACAAAGTTAATATTACATCAAAAGGCAGAAAAGGTCCAAAAATGAAAAAGAGAAAGAAAAATTAGGATTAATTTCCCCTCATAGTTCATTTGTTGGGTGTTTCAGTTTGCCGTCCTTGTGTTTGTGTTATTATGTTCAACAGAGTTTAGCAGTCAGGTGATCTGATTGTTTTAGAATCTCTGTGCTGTACATGTCCAAGGCATGATTTACTCGAATCATCTCACTGTTGTTGAGCTTGAGCCTATGCTTTAGCATACAAGAGAAGAGGTCCAGCTGGGGTTTGCCAGGTGCAGACGGAGGTGCAAGGCGGTTAATTCGATCCCGAATGTCCAGCAACAGGAGCATAACAGATGAGGATGAGTAGAACTGAGTTCCTTGTGTGTACGACTGGTTAACCTGCTGTACGGCACTACGGAGCAGGTCGGCATTAAAGCGCAGGCTGTAGCCAAACACTTGAATATCAGATATTTTTATGTAGATCTGGCGCTTGTTAGGGTCTCCGAGATCCACCGGACCCTGTCCTGTGTCATTGCGTAGGCCAGTTGGGATCTTAGCACGGCTACGCAGGTAGATGTGCACCGTCTCAAAGAAGGTCTTCCACCGGTTGCCCAGCAGGAGAGTCCAGTTGAAGCACTGGGAGTTCTGCAGTCGTACTTTTTCCCAGCGCGGGTAACCATGTTCTCCAAAGGGCATGCTCCAGCCTTCTGAGTGACTACCACTGAATGGGTTGACATAAACAAAGAACATGGGGTCAATGCTGCTATTTCGCATCTGGCAGATCTTCATCGATAGACCGATTATCATGTGGAGGTAGTCCATCCGGTTTTTGTTACTCTTGAGCGTCAGGGACATGCGCTTACGCCATCGAGGGTCAAAGAAGGTCTCTAGTCGGATCTCATTACTGATGAAAGTAGTGTGAATGTACAGTCGCGAATCCATTTTCTGCAACAGGTATTTGAGTTCCAGGTCCTGAAAGTCCAGATCAGTTTCAAAGCTGATGAACTGCTCACTACGTTCTGAGTCCACATTCTGGGGCTCACAGCGACCACGGTACAACTTGTAGCCCTTGTTGCAGGAGCCACACTGGGAGATGTTTGCCAGGCTGCACATGGCACAGCTGTTGTTGCCACCTATGACACACGGGATGGGTCGCTGGCACAGCGTGACGCCTGTGTGGCACACGCATGTCCTTTGGCTCTCCAGGAAGGTCCCCCAGAACCCGTTCTCATTGCAGTAGAGGAAGGACTGAACCCTGTTGAGCCACTGCATCACAGATCTACAGAGAAAGGAGAAAGAAAATCACGAAGGAATAACAGTGGTCAGATGGAAAGTCCAAAGGCTTATCATATCAGCACTATTTGTTGTCCCATTTACTACAAAATATCTATGCAAGACATAACTGCTGACAAAATTTCCAGAAGACCTTTCATTTAGCTCGATACATCCTTACAAAAAAATGTCAAAGATTTGAAACTTGATTTCACATCTATTACCGTGGACATGATGATTTTAATTGTGTTTCATTATATTTTAATTGGGTGGTAATGCACTTGAAGGATTTAAGAATAAAACCCATCATTAAGTTAACTGGGATGCATTACTGTATCTAGAGTATGCTTGTACCTTGTACTTGTATGAATGGACACCAATAGCTCGAAGATATGAAACACATAAATAATCAAACCGTCAATGAAATGCATTGTTAAAGGGTTTGCACACATGCAAATCATCTAGTCAGGATGGTCTGGGAATAGGATAATTTCTTCCCTTCAAAGGGGAGGAGTTGCGTTATTCCCCTCAGGTGGAAGGCATTACTTGTTATTCTAATCGTGGCTCTTCTTCTCCCCTCAGGCATCTTTCCCTGTCATCTTGACAGTATACTGGAACTTCTTTTCTGAGTGTAGGAGGTGAATTCTGAATCCTGATTTTTCAGAGGGCGGCTGATCAAGGTTAGCTTGACATGTTAATGAAGCTAAGGCTTAACTATGATGGATGACGATGCATTCTCACCAGGCCATAAAGCCCCCCAAGCAATACCCAAAATGAGCCTGGAACAAATCATCTATAGAGGACAATGGAAGCACAATGCTTGATTCCACTAACTTTGACTTCAAATTGAAGATGTGATAAAGTGAATGTATGCTATAAATTATCCCCTGCATTTTAGGAAATGTAAAAATCTTGAAAAGTACTGAATGTGTCCTTTATTCTCCCACACAAAAATGTTTTGACATTCAGTGGTCGTTGAATGGCTGGAATTCAATTCAGTGCAATTCTGTAAATGGTTGGGCTTTTTGATTTGTATCACTGCTTGCAATAAAAAGGATATTTCAATATTGTCTTCCAGCTTGTTTGTTTGATTGCAAACTTGGAATGTGCCTTGTGTGGAGCAGCTATTTCTTGATCCTGTTGTGTGCACTATTTCTGCTTTTGCCTTTTACCCTAGAAATAAGACGTCTTAATCTCCTGGTGCAAGAACTGTATTTGTGATTTTTTTTTAATCATTTTCCATTGCCTCTCTGCAGTTATGCAGTTTGGCCTGGAGTGTCTTCAGAGAGATGAGTGTATCATGTTAGTTGCCTCAAGCTTGTTTTTCCAGTCCATCGCAGTATGAATACTAAAGAGTCAGCAAGCAGAGATGTGCAATTATACGGGTTTGACAATATTGAAGGGAAACATTCTGATGGTAAATCAACAATTCATATTACTATCAATACTGCGATTATCGCAAATTTTCAGAGTGGACCGTAAACACACCACGGCGTTCATGTCTTTGTTAGCTGTTACATTTTTATTAGCTCTAAGGGCTAATACCTTTGCTCCTCATCTGTCTAACTCTGAGCTGAAGCTACTTTGGCCATAACTTGCTATGTTTACATTAGCTAGTCAACCTACTGAAGCACAGCAAGTTTATGTGTTCATGCAACCCGTCCAATAACGCAGCTTGGTCAGTACAACTCAGTGTGTGACACCGACGCCTCATTTAGCCTGTGTATGCGACGCACACCCATCTACAGCATTGCAGGCAGAGCTACTGACATTATAAAAAGTGCAAGAATGTGTTGGTGCATGCAGTTTGGCATTCACAAAAGAAACGTACTGTTTCAAATTTGTGCTCGTCTGTTCTTCCTCACAGGTGAGCTTCACCTTTGCCCAATGTAATTATTCATTCACAACTATTTACACCCAAAAGAAAAAAGAATGTGCCTGAAAACATGAATGTTTCATACAATGCAAATAAAGTATTATACATCATACAATTGTGGTGGGAATTCTTTTTTTCTATATTTTAGCTCTGATAGTGAGATGATTATCATGATGCTGCCATTTACAGTGATTATTTGGCCACAATAATCATAATATGTAAATATGATACCAGCACAACCCTCTTACTGACGAACAAATCTTAACCACGTGTTCATTGTAAAGAAGACCTTTAGTGGCAAAGGTTTGAAAGCAAATGCAATTGAATATATTTGCAATAACTGTCATAACATCATGCAGCTAGTTTTATTGTTTGCCTTATTTGTTTCAAAAGAGCAGCAGCTTGGTTAGATTTGCCAGAGAAAGTTAAATGAAAATACATTGGTTGATTGTTTTCAAGAATTCAAGCCTTAAACAGCCTTGGTATTGTATAAGTCACATAGCATATGTTATGTGTTGGAGTATGGAAAAGAAAAGAGAGGAAGAGAACATCAGAGCAGGGTAATGGAAACTTTGTATTAACAATAGTGTGAGTTTCAATATTCCTTTTCAATATTTTCGCACCACATTTTGCATACCCTCTGATCTAAAGAGAGCTGTGTTATGATATAGGTTGAGTTCTATCATGATATCGCATCATGCATTATGAAGTGTGATTGTGGCTGTAGCCATGGCTGTGCTTGTTATGATTATGACTGGGACACAGTCTATAATGGATGTAGCACTAATGCAGGGGTGTGCAGTGAATTGGAATGGTTGTGCTGGCTGAGCTTTGAAGCTACTGGATTCCTGAACTCCTGTGGTGTGTAACACATCTGTCATATCTGATATAAGCACCACGGGTTCCAATCCCATGTGGCTTAACTATGCTTTCTTGGTGAATGTTAATAGGGGCAGTAAAGAGTAGTCATATAACATAGCACCATGCATAGTAACAACCCATGTGTGGTTGTTACTATGCATGGTGCTATGTTATATGACAGCCGCAGTCTGGGCAATCACAACATCCTCAGCTTCAGCTTCATCCACCACAGCTGCAGCTGTACACTGTATGTTGTCAGAGCTCGGCCTTGCGAAAGAAGTAATGAGCAATAAATGCTTAATGTAAAGTGTCACATCATCTCTCCTTACTGGATTATCTGCAGAGTGTTATCCTGAACTGGCAGTGTATCATAACGTACTTCCTGTTGCTATGGATCGTGAGGGATTGGGGGGGAGCTGTTGGTAGCTCTGGATGAGAAAGAGCCTTGAAGATTTGACAGGATATATGTTGTATCAAACTAGATGTAAAATTTGATTTAAACATGTTTAAGAAAATCTTAAAAACCGGTGCCATGTCAAAATCAATAGAAATTAGGGCAAATTAATTCATCACATGGAGGGCACATTCATATTTCTAAATATGCTTGACATGAATAATTACAACTAATGCAAAGCCTGGATGCAAATGATTTGGCTGGGAGTGAAGCTACTTCATATCTGTCACTATCAATCATTTATACCAAAGACAAACGGCTATGTTCATTCTCCTTGAAGCAGGCTGCTATATTCATTACAGGAAATGCAATAGCAAATCCAATATACAGTAGCTCAGCTCTAGGTTTGTGTGTGTGTGTGTTCACAACAGGGATTTATGATGCTTTGTAATGAATGGATGCCTTGCGGTGAGGTAAACCTGGAAAAATGACAAGTTGGTGATATGCAATTGTAATTATGGCCAGGTCTTTCATTAGCTGATGTAAACGTGTTTATTTACTGACATTTTGCATTGTGAAATGGTGAAGGTGCAGCATGATTTAAATTTTAAAATCTTTTTTGGATAAGTTTAAGTTGATAACAAAATGTAGCATTATAATAATTGCAATTAATAATAAGTAACTTGCCCTTATTTTGCCATCCACAATTTAATCAAACTAAAAGCGCACTAGGACTGGCACATTACGAATGCTTTGAGACAGCATGTAAGAATTATGAAATAAAATGAAACCAGGAGCTGGTTCATGAAGAATGCATCACTCTACTGTGTTGTGGTGTCAGTCAATACATTATGGGATAATGCACACCTCCATTTTTAACTTCGCTTTGAATATACATTCACTCACTTTCACATTTATGATATACATGCTTTATCAAGCAGCTGTAGTACGAAGGTCACCTTCCATTATACAAAAAAAACATTAGCGAGTCCACGCTCGCCTCCATGAATGAGCCATCTTTGTTAGCTAGGTCGCCAAGGCAATAAAGCATCACAAAAAAAACTTTATTTTTCTCTTTTCTTACCTTTCCAGCTCATTGCAAAAATACTGTGAGCCACCTGCAGCACCATGGTTCAACCACAGGCTTCTCAGAAAGTATCAAGTTCTTATGTCCTCTCTTTGTCCTGCATATCAGTATGCAGTCCAGTTTTCTTATAAGGTGTTACTAAATCTGGGGGATGATTTCACCAACCAATAATAGTGCTCCACCATCGCTTTTATCCTGGTTACTTTTGAGTCATTTGGTCGTTTGATAGGCTTTACTCCTCTGATCCACCCTACTCTGCCTCTGACTGGCTTACCTTGATATTCTTATACTAACTCTAACCAATCTTACTCCTCATGCCTTAACCTAACTAACCCAATCAACAGAGGCAATGAGTACTAGCCAATCAGAGGCAGTGTAGGGCAAGTGATGCCGTCATTAAAGCAGGATTTGTAATTTAGCGGCCCAACGGAGCGGGTGTGTGTGTGTGTGTGTGTGTGTGTGTGTGAGTGTGAGTGCAGCTGTGTGGCTCTCAGAGCAAATTAAAGAGCAGGCAGGAAAGCGGACAAATGAGAATAATATTGACAAATATTTAAAATGTTTCAATTTAGAACGTCAGCTGATGGGTCTTTTTAAAGACCACTGATCAAACTATTTCACAATAATAGGAGGCGATAGCGTTCAGTGGCCAATAAATCGGAGCACCCTCGTGACCCGATCGAAACAGGGCAATAAACTTCAGCAAAGCCAACAGAAAATAAAATAAACGGCAAGACATTTACGACAAAAAATATAAAAATTTCAGCACCTCTAATTGGATAGTGCTTTGAAATGCGCTCTAAGCTCATTGAGCAAAATTACATGAAGGACAAGAGACATTCCCTTTTGTATTTCATTTCATTTTGCTTTAATTCTTTTTAAATCAACCAGTCAGTTACCTGTTCATAGGTTTCAGACTATCCAAAGCAAAATCAACCAAAGCTGACATCCCTAATCAGTGGGGGTAATCTGTATTCCAAGTGATCACTAGGGGAAATTCTCCCAGCAGAGGAAACTGGCTGGCGTTTACACCACAGGAGACGTCAATGAACATGATTCTTACAGTGCCTGTCCAAGTATGCACAGAGTAGCAGGTGGTTGACACTATCATCCTCCCCATTGTGGGCCTTATGTATGATCTGGAGGGAATCTAAATGGCCCCTCACAACGGATCTGGCCTGTTGTCATTTAGAGCCCTGGTGTGCCCATTCTTGGCCACTGGGATGCCAGGCAGGATGTTTTTCACATCGTCATCAGCTCCCTCTGCCGCTTTACTGACAGGTTGAGGATGTGCTGGAAGGCCTCCCTGAGGTGGTTGGCAAACACCTTGAAAACACTTGGGCTGATGGTTTATGGGCCTTCAGCTTTACATCAATTACCTCATCCCCTGATCAACTGTTATAAGCTGCCCAGAGGAGAGGTGAAGGTTGGAGTCCCTGTTGGTGATGGGGGAACTTTTTCTTCAATTGGGGACAAGAGAAGATAGATTTATGGCACTATACTGACTATACACATGCATGGGGCAAACTAACAAATGGCCTTTTAACATAGTTATTCTTACAATAACTATGTTAAATATTAGTAAAACAATTAATAATTTGCATTAGATGTTGACGGGTGGAAATAAAACAAAATGATTTTCTGTACAACCGTTAACACTAAAATGAAAACATAACATAGTTTAGAACCCCTGGGTGAGCTTTAGATAAAAGCTCACCCAGCATGCACACGCATACGTGCGCACACACGCGCGCACACACACACACACACACACACACACACACACACACACACACACAAACAGACGTAATGAAAACAAATAAGTCTTCCATCTGATGCAAACCTGTCTCACACAAGCAAGCAAATAAAACACGCTGCTCTTTTCTCCAGCTCCATCAGGCACCCTTGATGCATACGCCATGGAAGAGGAGGTGGCTCTTTGATAACACTTCAGAACAAACCTTTGCCAACTCTCACACTCACACACACACACACACACACACACACACACATACACGTAGGTGTGTGCCTTTTCTGTCAGTGACAGTTGACAACTGCTCATTTTCAGACCACTTAAATGAATATTTCACGATTTCTGTTTCCATTTGTATAGCGACATCCCCCTACACGGAACGGTTTTCAGGATGTTTCATCTGGCACCTGTGAACTTTGCATATTTTCCATGGTGTTTTCTAATATTTGCTGCAGCGGAAGGGGAAATTCCTAGCGTCTCAGGCAATGCTAACACCATAGCACATCTACAGCAAGGCTCTTAAGCTGCAACTGCAGTAGGCGGTGATAGATGTGTGCAATGACCTATCAAGAAAACTCCCACAGCTACATTTTCTTTTCAGACTGCAATGTGAAATACAAGCGTGAGCAAGAGTGCTTTGGGCATGTGCAAGCCTCAGCACTAAGTTGGCTTGATGGACAGAAACAACAGAGCCATAAGTTGAAATGTAAAATGGATGATATCCTTACTGTGCATGCTTCAAAAAGCAACAATCAAAATAAAACCTCTACATCATCTCAGAGGAGACATTTCCCTGAAAGATGTCATTACACTGCCACATCCTCTTGCTTTTCTTGCACTTGTAAAAGCAGATATCTAAACAATATCAGCGCCAAAAAACGGCACCTTTACTGCATGTTGCTGAGTAAATCCACACCTCATTCCCACTATGATGTGGAGGTCGTGTATCTACCCACCTCTCCCTAGGCATCTGGTGGTTGGGGTTGTGGTGACAACGGATGCTGAGGCCAAAGAGCTTGCGGGCGGTGCGCTGGATCTTGAGCCGCTGGATCTCCAGGGAACTCTGCAGGAGCCTGTAGCGGGCCTGAAGGTCCCAGTCGCTGCCCCACAGGAGATGCACACTGCTGATGGGCAGAAAGTGAGTGGAGGGTAGCCTCTTCAGGAAGGACTTGAACTCATCTGGATGACAGAGAGGGTTGGAGTGAGAGAGCAGATTGCAAAGCAGAGAGATAAGGAGTGGAGAGAGAGAATGTGAAAAAGTGACAAAAGAGGAATTAGAGTGTGTCGTACATTTTCTGACCTGAATGCTTCGAATTTGCTGAGTTAGATATTCTAAAATAGTTTAAATAATCAGATGATTTGAATTAAAGGAGAGCACTTTACATTCATCCTCAAACTTTTAAGCGAATAAGGTACACAGGTAAGCAGCAGGTAAACTACTGGAGCTAACATTTTCATAGCGAGTCTAAACATTTCTAGCATTTGTTCAACTTTGTTGGAATAGTGAATAAATCTTTTTTTTATCAGTGAACCAACCGGTGTGTTTTCATACAAATGATAAGAATGCTGACAATATTGCCGAATGGGTTTGTTTTACAAAACACTTATTTGTTCAACCCTAATCCAGCAAGCATCCTGGGTAGAATTACAAACAAAGCAACAACAAACCAACTGCTTGGAGGATTCATACTGCAGAGTGACAAAACTCTTGAATCCGCTGTATTTCTTGAGGCATTTTTACGACACAAAACAAAACATGCTCTCACTCCGTCAGAATAAACTTTTATTAACTGATGAGGGAGGGAACAAAGGAGTACTTTTTTTTTGTACTGTAGCTTCCATGTATGCTATTACTCTGCTGACTTCTGTTTTGATCTGACGTGCAACTAAATCAACTGTTACGGTAGACTTAAGTAAAAGTGAAATTAAGTAAAAGTTGGTTGTATCATCAGAAGAGTGTAACACTTTTTTTGCATACGCGTTGTTGCTTTCATGGGAGTTCAGTTCATAAGGCAAGGACATAAAACTATTGCCATTAACAAAACGTTAACTCAATACTGACCAATCAACCCAAAACGTTTTTTTGTTCTTTTTTTTACGTTTGTCAGACTGCAAAGGGATCATTTGGAATTGATTGATGATTCACTTGCTATATGTGTTTTGTTTTTCTCAGTGCTGTGTACGGCATTGTATAGTTTACTTTTGGACGTGTGCTTACGATCTGACACCCGGTCACTACGTTTTTATAAGTGGACGCCCCGAAACGTCTTGAACACAGTCTATACATTGTTTTTTAAAGGAAAATCCAATTCATTGTGCCTATTGAAGACAATCATGGTGAGGTGGCAGTGCTCAGTGAGCGCCCAGAATCCTGACCAATCTGTTTTATGTAAGTGGTTGGATGTATCGGGTTTTACTTTTGGATTGCTTCTCTTTTGAGCATTTACAGAGAATTGAAACCCTCAGTTCAGTAAACACCCTTTTACTCTGTGCTCCCACACTTTCACTGAAGAGCACTGCCCAAACAAATTTGTGCCCACCAGTGTTGATTATTGCCCTTATGTTCCTGCTGCTGCTTCTGATAAATATTGCTTTTCTCCTCCCTAGACAACCGTGAGCCCAGCTCTCTGACCCTTGTTTTCAACACTAACTCCAATTTTTAGCAACAAGGGGCATGACAATGTTACTCAGACTCCAGCAGCAAATACACAAGGGCAGGGAATATTTTATTTGGAGTGCTAATTAAGAAAATATTGAGTCAAACAAGTCAGAATAGCTTATTATTGTCTCTGAAGATAAATGTAAGCACATCATTATAAATAATAAAGTTAACAATTTAATGCCTAAAATGGTTCCTTAGCGATATCAACAGTCAAGAAGCTACACATAATCTAATGATATTGCCTTAATCTGCAGCACTAAACAATATTTTTGTGGAGAAAAGAAGTAACACGGAACGCAAATCTTCTCCACACTCAACTCTAAAAGGAAAAGATCCCCATATTCAAGACCTGCGCAGTAAGCCAGCCACCTCCTACAGACCTTTCCAAGATAGTTTAAGAGCATTAGAGTTGAGAGCTCTTTTCGAGACACAGTCGAGAAATGTCAGACCTTCCTCCACTCTCCTCCCAGGCATGTCACAGCTTCCTTCCCCCTTTTTTCTTCAAAGACACAAGATTTCTTCTCCACCCCTGTTTTGAACTTGCCATATCCCCCCCACCCAGTTTTCAGAGATGTCAGGCACCTACCTCGCCTTTTTCCGAGAAAAGCTGGGTGTCGCCAGCATCCAATATTCAAAATTGTCTGATTTCCTCACCAAAAACAATCATTATCATGTCATCCCTTCATGACAGTGTAACAGTTGCCAAGTCCTTCTACACAGGCTTCAAAGCCATCAAGGATCTCTTTCTTGATCCAGCTTCCAAAGAGTCCTAGTCCCTCAAATGACTCTTATCTCAAGTGACCCAGCACCTTATCTAGAGATTACAGCTCTCAGAATGTAACCCCACTTTACCTCTTCTGCCTTTACATCTCAATTTGTTGGGTCCAGAATATATAAGCACAAATTTCATTTAATCTATACAATAACGTCATTTTTATTTTAGATCAAAAAATGCTGTATTTAAAAATGCAGAACCTCAGAAAAGGCTATGCAACTAAACTAGCGTATACTATTTTGGTACTTTTTTTTACCATTTTGTCAGGATCTTCCATAAAAAAAGAATGTTCAATTTACTGTTATTAAACACTAGTTGTTACCTACTGTTATGGTTATATGCAGTAAATTATACAATCTGTCTGTTTAGTCCCATTTTTTTAAACCAAAAACAAAGTGATAATTTTTGACACGTTACACACCCTGCAAACGTTTATTGATTCCTTAATGTCTTCTTTTGGTGAGTGTGTAAAATGCATTTGGTTTTTTGGGACAGTATAATACATTCATATAAATATTTGTGCCCTCTTTGTATGTACTTTCCTCCACCTCTTCCCAGACTTACTGCACTCAGTGACCTCCATGACTCACATTAACTGTCCTCTATGGTACATAAATATATTTATCTGTTGCTGGCAGGCTTTATTGGGACACTTTTATATCATATCAATAATAGATAAACATGGTGACTTGCAATGTAACAGCTGGGAACTAGCTGTGCTTTTTTCCCCATTGTGTCCAATATTTTAGCGCCGACTTTTAAGTCTGCCTTTGCATTCAGTAAAAACGGAGATATTCGTATGGGAGAGAATATTACTTTCAAAAGTTGTCTTTTTGTTGTAATTTATTCCTGATAGATAACAAATAAAGTAACAAAATTCTGATTATTATATCCGCCAAAAGAATCATGCGTCGCTCGCATGCGTGCGTCCGTGCGACGTGACTGTGCACCTCGTTGTTGTACACGGCTAATCTCGCATTCTGCTGCAGCAATATTTTAGGAGGCCAGTTATGTCTGCATGTTCAAGGACCTCTTGTGGTAGCGGTGACTTTCTCAAAACCTGTTTTATACGGCTATTGACAGCATGCTGACACCTCACTCACTACTTTTTACTGGCCCCGAGCCGGTAGGGGCCGCAAGCGATCACACAGCCGAGTGCATCACCGAACCCCAGCTGCTACTCTGCGGCAAGTAACACAGTGGGGGGTAACCATAGACTGTATGTCCATAGGGAAAACAGCTTTCTCACTTTTATTTTTTTTGACAATGTATCTGGCTATCAGCTAACAGCCAACAGAACTAAACACACAGCTGACTGCATCGCCGCCGCTCAGCTGCTGCTCTGCGGCCAGAGACAATTATTCTGTGCCTTTTTCATTGGGCATCAACCTCCCGTTCACCATACCTATACAGCTTTAACTGCTGTATAGGTATGCTTTAAAATAATACAATATTTTCCTAACTGTCACGATAAATGAAAGTTGGTGGAATTTACATCTTACCAGAGTTCTCAAAGTCTTTATAAGAGGATACCCAGGACTCAGACATCCCCAACAGGGTGTTCTCCATGATCTGGATGTCGGTGATGGGACAGTTGCATTGTGGATAATCGTCGGCACACTGACAGATGCACTGGTTGTTACTGCACACATACTCCCCCTCTCCATTGCACATGATGTAGCTCAGGGCCGACTGGACAAACTTCTCCTGCAGGTAATCTGGGAAAATGACCTGAAGACCTGAAAATGACAAAGTACAATTCAAGAAAAAATAAAATAAAATACATTCCCGTCCTGTGTTGTAAATCGTTGAAGCGTTTGGGCAAAAATAAATCTGAAATGTGCAGCCTTCATGCTTTTCACATCACATAAGTGGCCCCAAACTAAATAATAACAAGAGCTTAATACAAAATCTTACAAAATGAATTTGAAAAGTGACATGAATCATTTGTTTTCATCATTTTGTAATCAAATGTATACTTGTGCTCAGAGTAAGAACTGAAATGGAAAAATGAGAGTCGTAATACTGTCAATGCATGATACCCGTACTGACAAAGTAAACACATTATGTGAGAAAAAAAGTTACCAGAGTGGGAAAAGCTGTAGCTAAATGGAAGGCTGCCCTTCCCGGGATTGCTTTGTGTCACAAGCGCTCATGTATTTTTTGAAAGGATGTGCTTCAAAGCTCGACTATGTTCAACTTGAGCTGCCTGTTCTGTGGCTGATCACTCATGATGTGAAACTGTACAACAATGCTTGCGCTGTGTTGGATTATTTAGCACAGAATTTATTTTACTTCGTGGGCATTTTCTATCACATGCATTACTGTGTTCAGCAAGTGTTTCCATTTGTATTTGTTTCTGGTTTACATATGTGGTTTGCATTCCGCTTATTATATGCTAATGGTAAAAGTACAATTCATATTCTAGAGGCCAATTTAGGGCTCAAGCTGAAAGTACCTCTTCACTCTCACCATGGACATGGTATTTATAATTTTTAGAATCTGAAACAATACCTATCTCACCCTGGGCATCTCATAGAACTGAAGCTTGATCAGCGAACAGTAAAGCCTTTCTCTTCAGTCCAGGCCCGGGGAAAATAAACCCCTACCTCCACGAGCCACTCGAATGGAAAAGAACTGAATAGATCTTTTTCCCTCTTCTAGGACGCGGCATTATGGTGAGGCAATATTTTCTTAATAGGTTTTACTTGAGCACAAACAGTGCTTCAGCAGAAAATAGGCAACCAGGAACCAGAACACAACACGTTATTGAATGATGAATGATTGCATTATTTTTTCTGCTCACGTATTATTTTCACCTTTGGGTGAAAAAAAGGAATCCATTTATGCAGAATCAACATAATCTATCTGAAATGAAAGGGAGAATAAGGCTACAATTTCATACTGTACACATTAATCATTTTGGGGGTATTGTCATAGAGTTGAATGGTATTTTCGTATTGTGCATATGGCATGTGGCAATTCACGTTTCTGATTTTCACCCACAACACACGCTAAACTGACAACTGTGCTTGATTTAGAAGCAAATGAAGATCTTAATATATGCCAAGTTTTGTGTCTGATATCTAGGACAACTTCCAAATAGATTGTCATGGGGACACCCTTTGAAAAACATTGCTGGGTAAATGATCCAAACACATACTGTGTTTGTCAATTCTACATGCCAGTTATTGATGCTAATAGTTCAGTCCTATTTACCAGGCGCGACACTGACGCTGGGATTGTTTTCACCTCGTGAGTCTGCGTTTGAGTGTTTATATGCCCGTTGGTGGGCAGATTTTGACACCAGGATAGCGTCGGTACAAGCAAGATACATTCATGAAACATTACAGGTGCGTAGTTCAGATTAAAATGAAGGCTGAGTTCGGAAGTAGGAGTATATCAAATGAGGAAGCCCCCCTGCAACCTTAAGCCCCTGGCCTGATTTGGTGTCGTGCTGGTGTGATTTCATGGCCAGATGGTTATTTAGATTTTCATACAATCATGATCTCAGTTCAAATACGAACCGAAAAAAAACCCACTTTCAACCTCTTTTTATTTTGAACCTGTTCTTGTGTACCTCTTTTTCAATACCAGTAGGTTCCCTTCTCCTCTACAGAACCTCATCAGAACCACCGCCCATCAGTGATGGAGGGAGGGATGGAGGGATGGAGGGCGTAAAGGGGATGGATGGATCATGTCTGACCACAAAGAGTTGGGTTGCACAGGGCTTTTTTCTCCATCAGACCTGTCTGCGGCCCCTGGATCCAATATTCATTTAGCGTGATGTATTCCTGGGCTTGAAACTTTAATGTGATTTGTGGGAGAATCCAGATGGCAAGTTCACGGATCAACGCTGCTTACTGACAGTGCTGGTGCCAGCGGCCGGGTGCACAATAACACCGAGTGCTTCAGCCCTCCCTCTTTACCGCTGCTGTTCGACCGTACCCCATACCCCCATTCCACACACACACACATACGCACGCATGTACACACCTACACACGCAGATTGCAGGGGGAATCGTTTGGGATGCTGACATTCAGTGCAGCAGTATCTGTTTTGCAATCTATTGTTTTCCACCTGCTTTTCCTCTCAATGTTTCTGTCCCTCCTCTTTCTCTCTACCTCGTACTCTGTCTCTGTACACATCTCCTCTGTCTTACTTCATTACACTCACTTCTCCTCCCGCCACACTCGTGCACATGGCCCTTGACTCGTCCCCACCGTCATCCTTTGGCTCCCATTCACTCCATCAATCACTCTCTTCATTCCTGTGTCTTCACCTCTCCTGCTCTCCTCTACGTTCTCCCACCGAGCACGTATTCAAGAATTGGAAATTTGATGTCTTGTCCTCCCACTCCAGTGTAGAAGTGATGTCATGCAATAACAGCAAATCAATCAGCATTTGTTAGTGCAGTGGGGAATGAGTAAGAGAATTGGAGCCCTCGGGCCAAAAATGAAATGAGAAACTAATCAGAGAAAAGCATTTATCTTTGTGACTTTCCTGACTTTGCTGTGTTGGTGCAGTAGCATGTGGGCATATTGAGAATGATTGGGCTGTAAAGCTTCAGCTTGTATAGCTCTGATGCAGGTATTTGTTGGGAAAAACACTGGATTTTGGAGCAAAGAGTTACACTTACCATCATTAAAGAGTTACTGATGAAATGAATAGGTGCGTATTGGAATTCCCGTGCAGCCATTTGATAACCTCTAACTTCATGCTCTGCCAGTGCACATCATTCCCTGCAACCAGCATGCCTGGCTCGCTCTAAATAAATAGCACCTCAAAATGGCAGTTAATCTCACTGCATACATCAGAGGCTGATATATTTCCTTCACGTACGTTGGAGGATATGGGCCTCCAAACATTCCATGAATGCTAAAAAACGGAGACTCTCCAACTGCGTCTTTGCCTCTTCATTGCGTCTCTATCGAGAGTGCTCTATTTTTACACGGTGATAGATGGGGAGTGTAGGCCACAACTGAGGCTTGTAACTGCCTTGGCAAGCAGTTGCCTGCTTATTGCAATGCCACGCTCCGCCTCATAAGTTTCAGTTTCATTAAAGATTAATTGACCATCGTGTGGCCGCAATTTCGCAAAATAATCATTACTTAATCCACTGGTGCAATAAAGTGCATTACTTGAATGGCGGCATTAAATTACCATCGGAGGTTATCGTTGCAGCCATGATACAAAAGCAAAGATCTCTGAACTGGATGATTGCCTGTTTCTCTTCAGTCCATGGCCTGCCCAGTCCGCCCTGCTGATCCCTAGATGCTTACAACAGAAGGGGCATATAGCCTTAAGATTTGCTGTGTTGGCTCATTTCACAAGAGAGCTGTTCTTCCACAACTATACGGTAAAGGTGCAGCTAAAGCAGCTATTATCCACTTTTCATTTCTTTACATAAAGAGCTTTAGGTCTCTGACAGTGTGTGTGTGTGTGTGTTGGCCCTGACAGGGATAACATGTTCCACTGGAGCTATTCTCAGCTCTCAGAATATGTTAGCATTTTTTAAAGTTCTGAATGAGGTGTACTTAGCATTGAAATGGATAATGTGTTGCTGTGTCTGCACTGAGTAGATTATCGTAGATTACCATAAGTGTTCCCAGCACCCTAGAAGGCAGCAGCCTGTGTTTTCGAACAGGACTGTCGACGAGTTTGTTGTACAATCCTACTAAAGTATTTGTGTGCCGGAATAATTGCTCAGGACATTTTAATCAATATTTCCATCTCAAATATGTCTAAAGTGCAGAACAAAGAATTATTTTTTTTTTCATTCCTGAGTGCTCTGCCGAGTTTTTATGGTACATTAATATTTAGGCATGCATATATTTGAAACGGCAAAACAACAAAGAAGTGTCAAATCCTATTTTCTGGACATATTAACATACAAGTGCTTGCATGTGCATATGTGATACATACCGCTGTATCTTTGTGGAACAGAAAGACTTGCAGAACACAGTGCTGTCCACACAATATCTCTATATGACGTGAGCTCTGAAGAAACTCACTTATTCACATTGTTAACACAAAAAGCAGCAAGAATGGAGGTTCGGTAATCACTGTAAAAGCATAAATTACATATAAAAATGGCCGTGGTATTCAGGGCTTGCTGCTCCTGCCTCTTGAATATAGAAAATTGCTGAAATTGCACGTTAAAGCAATTGCTGGATTGATGAGGGCAGTCTATCGAGGTAGATGAACTCTCCATGGTGCTGAGTTATTGCGAGTTGAGCCGCAAACTGGACACAAGTCGAGTCAGAGTATAAGTAAGTTGGTGATGATTCGTTTTTCTCCTTTTCCTGTGTGCAGGATCACAGCTGAGCAAATGCAATTTTGTTTTTTAATTTAGGAATTATGCCCTCAAAATATTGCAATTTCAATATGATAATGTAAATGTAGGTAATACAATTTAGTTTTGAAGCAACAAAATACTATAAATATTAGCTGTGTTTCAAAAATATGTGTTGTGGTTGCTGTTGGCTGCTTGTGCACTACAGTTGCACAATTCAAGCTGTTCCGTCATGTGCTACCATGTGTCCCCGCACAGCAGTATCAGTAGGGCCTCGGCTGGTGAGATATACTCGTCTCACACTTTCAAATCCACGCACGCACACACAGAAAGAGATGCACGCATGAGCACACGTACACACTCTGTGCAGGCTTTCGCAAAAATCACATGTTTTACAAGAACCCTGGAGAGGGGGAGGAGAGACGCATGACAAGCTCTGACAT